AGTGACGGGGGAGGGGTCAGTGACGGGGGAGGGGTCAGTGACGGGGGAGGGGTCAGTGACGGGGGAGGGGTCAGTGACGGGTCTGAATGGTGAGGACGGCGGCGGATTACGGGTGTGTGTGGGTTGTATCCACTCACCAACCCCAGGCCTGGTTCGGGCCCGAGCCCCCGAGGCCGCCCCTCGCTCCGTTTCCAAGGATCCCACCGCGTCTTCACCAACTCCGCAGCGCGCCTGCGCCTCCCACACGCTCCCATTGGCGGAAGCGCTCTCCAGCTTTCATAGGTTCTGGCGGTCGGGCCACCTCCGCTACACGCCGGGTGATGTAGTCCCCAGGCGGTAATAATATGGACTACAACTCCCATAAGGCGTCAGCACCCCCTCCGTAGGCCAGGAAATGTAGTCTCACGACAGCTCCGGACTACAACCCCCAGAGGGCTTCGCGACAGCACACCTGTAACAGGTTTCAACCATTCATCCAGGTGAGTGGTTCAGCTTTACTGCAATTGTGGAGCTTATTAGGGTAAACCTGATTAAATAATGTAGACACATGTCTACTCTTCTGAAATATGAAACAAATCTTTTTTTGTGTTTTTACATAGCACCTTTAACGTCCTGAGCTGCTTTAGTGGAATGCTGTGGAGCAAGAGTTGACACCAAGTCATCACATAAGGATACGTTAAGGAAAATGCCCAAAAACATCATCAAAAGTTTTCAGGAATGTCTAAAATGAGGAAAGAGGTGGACAATATATATCTAGGGCTAAGGAGAACTCATTTGCTTTGCAAAATTTAGATTTATTTTGATTTATTTATTTGTCACATGTACTATGTATAGGAATACATAAGTGCAGCAAAAAGTGCACAAAGTCGCCATTCAGTAGTGCCCACTTGATTACAAAAAACAGAATTAAAAAGATTTAGCAGAGCCAAAGGTAAGCAAGAAAAAGAAAAGTCCAGATCTCAGAGTCCCAAGTCCCACCTCCACAATGATGCAGGCACTGCTCCAATCACTAGGACACCCAGGAGGCCGCTGCTGCCATGTGAAAGGCCTGGTCTCGCTGCCATTTGCTGCCGCCTCACCGGCCTAGTCTCGCCACCGTCGCTCCGGCCCACACTCGATGCAGGACACGGCCCGCGCATTCGGTTCCCACCGCACAGTTCTTGGTCGCGACTGGACTCCTTTCCAACTCCTTAGGTAGGTAGTTAAAAGGGCACGGGGTGTGGTGAGTAGAATTACTACAAAGAGGACGGGGAAGAAGAAGAGAAAATGAAAGGAAAAGGAAAGGAAACTGACGAGCAGAGTGGAGTTCCGAATGAAGCGACTTACCCTGCCGCCATTTTGCCAGAATAGTGTCCATAGGAGTTTTTGCAGCTAAAAGGGATGTATGAGCCTTTGTTGAACATCTTGTCAGAAAAGCAGCCCTTCCCATGTGGTTCTCCCTGGGCATTGGACAATGAGGGGCATTGAGGTCATCACTATAATCCTCAAACATTGTCCTGGTGTTTGTTTGATCCTTGCAGAAGGGGAATTCTGGATTCCCTCTGTGGATAGCTGAGAACTTTTCTTCAGTTATTCCTCAGCAGCTGTTTGCTGACTTGGAGATTGCAGAAGAACGGTCTCTGGGTGCCTTTTCAACATGTTTTTAAAATTCACATCTGGACTGTTTACTGATGCTCCTAGTTTTGTTTCTGCTACCTCGTCTCAGTTTCTGTTAATGATATCATCTGGGAATCCAGTAACCAGGAATTCTCTGGGCCGGAGCCTGTTGTGTGCTATTAACTGAACAAATGATTCAGTGAAACCTGGCTCAGTGTCTAGGCTGGCTGGCACAGCATAGATTTTGCTGAGCAGTGGCTACAACCTCTGTGTGTAGTCTCCTTGGAATATGATTGCACGGCCATATGCTAGCGGATTTTCACTCCTAATTTGTCCACTCCTTGCTGTTCTTTGTGATTTGTATTTGGCATGAAGAACATGTAGAATATTTTCTGGCTGTTGTTTTGAGATATTTTTATTCCCTCACCCCCCTGTTTTAACCAAGTTCCTGTTGGTTTTGACCTGTGCGTGAAATTATGGGGAGCAGTATGTGAGAGTAAAGCCTGTTGGGACATTTTCCTTGCAAGGTATCTATGCTTCATCTCTTGTAGAGTTTGAGGATGAAGTGTAGTGAGGTCACTCCAGAGAATTTACCTTCATCCAACACGTTGTGGTGTATTGAGATTGTCATACCTAGATTCAAGCCCCATCTTGTCCAGAGATGTGTCATAACATGTCTGGACAAGTTGCTTAAAAATATCTGGCTATCATATTAGGCTCAGTGGCTACCATTCTTGACTAAGGAACTTGCTGTAGGAAGGATATTATTAAATTAGAGAGGGTTCAGAAAAGATTTACAAGGATGTTGGTGGGACTGAAGGGTATTAGTTAAAAAGTGAGGCTGGATAGGCTGGGACTTTTTCCACTGGAGCCTAGGAGGCTGAGGGGTGACCTGATAGAAGGGCATAGATAAGGTGAACAGCAAATCATGAGGGGCATAGATAAAGTGAATAGCAAAGGGTGGTTGAGTTCAAAACTAGGAGGCATATTTTTAGGGTGAGGAGAAAGATTTAAAAGGGACCAGAGGGGCAACATTTTCACATGGAGGATGATTCATATGTAGAATGAACTGCCAGAGGAAGTGGTAGATGCAGGTCCAGTGACTACATTTAAAAGACATTTGGACAGTTACGTGAAGAGGAAATGTTGAGAGGGATATGGGCCAAATGCAGGCAAGTGGGACTAGTTCAGTTTGGGAAACTTCGTCAGCATGGATGAGTTGGACTGAAGGGTCTGTTTCCATGCTGTAAGAGTCTCTGACTGTACTCCATGACAGAATTCCAGAGCTGAGGAGACAGCCACATGAATGTATGTCATCAATGGCTTTTATTCATTGATTCATGGGATGTGGGTGTTGCTGGCTGAGCCAACAATTTATTCTACATCCGTAATTGTTCCTGAGAAGGTGATGGTGAGCTGTCTTCTTGAACTGCACAGTCCATACGGTGCAGCTCCACAATACTGTTAGGGTGGGAATTCCAGGATTTTGACCCGACAACAGTGAAGGGACTGTGGTATAGTTTCAAGTCGCTTAGAGTAGCTTGGAGAGGAACTTGCAGGTGGTGGTGTTTCCATGTATCTGCTGTCCTTATCCTTCTGGATGGCAACGGTTCTGAGTTTGGAAGGTGCTGTCTAAGGAGTATTGGTGAATTTCTGCAGTGCCTCTTGTAGATACTACACTACTTAGAGGTGGAGGGAGTCAGGAAGTGAGTTATGTGCTGCAGGATTCCTTAGCTCAGACCTGCAGTCATATCCCACAATAATTACATGGTGAGCCCAATTCAGTTTCTGGTCATCAGTCATCAAGATGTTGCTAGTGGGGCATTAAGTAACAGTAATGCCATTGAATATGAAGGGATCCTGTTTAAATTTTCTCTTGTTGGAGCATTGCCCAGCACCTGTATGGAGTGAGTGTTACTTGCTAGCTGTTGAACGTGCGTATTGTCCAGTTCTTGCTATTTTGGCTGTTTCGGTATCTGAGGAATTATGTATGTTGCTGAACATTGCGCGATCATCATTGAACATCGCACTTCTGACCTTACGATGAAGGAAAGGTCAATGATGAAGCAGTTGATTATGGTTTGGCCAAGGACACTATCCTGAGGAACTCCTGCAGGGGTGTCCTGGAGCTGAGATGACTGACCTCCATCAACCACGACCATCTTCATCTGTGTCATATATGACTCCAAGTGGTGTAGAGTTTTTGCCCAGATTCCCATTAATTCCAGTTTTGCTAGGGCTCCTTGCTGCCTCACTCGGTTGAATGTAGCCTTAATGTCAAGAGCTGTCGCTCTCGCCTCACCTCTGGGATTCGGCTCTTCTGGAGTCATACAGCTGTACAGTTTAGAAACAGACCATTCAGCCCAACTCATCCATGCTGACCAGATATCCTAAATTAATCTAGTCCCATTTGCCAGCATTTGGCCCATATCCCTCTAAACCCTTCCTATTCGTGTACCCATCCAGACACCTTTTGAATGTTGTAATTGTACCAGCCTCCACCACTTCCTCTGGCAACTCATTCCATATACGCACCTCTTGGGTCCCTTTTAAATCTTTCCCCTCTCACCTTAAACCTATGCCCTCTAGCTTTGGACCCTGGGGAAAAGTGTCCACCACAAGGCCCCCCCCCACCTCCTTGCAGTCACTTTGAGGGGCAGCGTGCAAGAAAGTGGATTGAGCAATGTCAGAT